GGTCTACTGTGCTTGTCCTAATCAAAACACTGGATGGCAGTATTTTTACCGAAATGATTTCGGAAGAGACTCAAAAGGAGCAGGCTTTAGTCTTCTGAGAACAGTAATTATCGTACTTAACCAGCACTGACCAAAAACGCAGTACGCCTTCAGTCCACCAACAGCCTGTGCTCAACGTCCCAACTCTACATGCAGCATTTAACCACACACACACACACACACACACACACACACACACACACACAAACCAGAATGCCCAAAATACTATCTGGATAAATTGAAAGAAAAAAAAATCTCTTGCCTCACTCAGCTCCCACCTCCATGCCTCATTTTCAGTGGTATTTGAATTTGTCTAATAAACCCAATGAAATGAAAATGTTAGTTTGATGGGTTGAATATAAACCATTATCATCCAAAAGAGGAAATGCTAGGATTCTCTTCTTTACTGATTATTACCAGAAAGTGAACTGCTCATCGTCACCAGTGACAGAAGGCTGACACCTGGTATCAAAGAGATGTGAGTGAAATTGGAAATTCAATGCTCTTGGATTGGAGTCCTGGACTCAGGCCAAATACTACAAGGGTAGAGATTCTTTTTATTTTCTCTCTGAAGACCAAAAGGACATTTTCTTCTGGCCTGGCCAGGGCTACCAAAGATGTGAACAAGTTTACAAACTATGTTCTCTGGGAGGAAGATATTTTATTTCTACAGATAACCAGCCTGGGTACAGGCAGAGTACGAATTAACAGCACGGATATTCAGTGTGTTGGTCCTCACAAATTCTTTTCTATTACTCAAAAAGTTGTGGTAGGAGACTTTTAGGGGTCTCACACGTGGCACATGCATCCACAGCATATGAACTGTTATCGCATCAATATGTTATATATATTATAAGACATGCACAAAAATCTACATTTTAACAGGAGATCAAATGATAACAGACGTAGGAGCCCTACCACACTCCAGTGGACGGTCTGGTGCACCTGAGAAGAGCACGCCTCCACTTGGGAGCCACTGGCATTAATGCACCTGGTCGTCCACAGGACAGGAGGGTGATTTCATACGGGCATCTTCTTTGCTTTCTCCACAGCCTGTGAGTTAGACGGTGCAGGGGCTCTTGTCTACACCATTTTCAAATGAGGAATCAGGCTTATAAGGATGAAATAACCTGCCCAAGATACTTTATGAAGGCAGTACTCATCACAGGTTTTCTTCTTCAGAAACTCTATTTCATCTCAGACTACATTACGATAATTCTACTTTTTTAAAAAAGCATTTTTGAATTAGAACTTAAATTCCCAGGAGTATAAAGAAAGTAAGAAGATACATGTCTACACCTTGACACACATGGATGTAAGCACTATTTTTTCTTCCTGGCTTTCAACTTTTACTAAACACTGATGTTTAAAATTAATGCTTTATACCTCAAAGTATACATGAATAACTTATTTGTAAAAATGACATCACCTATCAAAATTAAACTCCTTGACTATCATCCTCAATTCCAAAGCTCTTCTCCTTCCCAGAGGTAACGGCCAATATTTTCATCCAGATGTTTTCCTAAGAAATATTTGTACCTATAAAAATATACATATTGTTTTGATGATTTTAAAATATAACAGTATTGAATTATGTGCATTACTCAGCAGCTTACTTTTATTCTTAAATATCTTGGGTGGTTTTCATATTTTCTCTATTACAAACAGTGCTGCAATGCACATCCTTGCCCAGCTCTCATTTTCTATGTCTTTCTCCATGAAGCCGCTGAAAAATAATTTTGCAGTACCATTTCTGGAAATGCCTATGTTTTCCTAACTGACTCAGAGACTACCAATAGCATAGACTAAATTCCTGCATGAGTCTGTAGCACGACTTCTGATCTGTTGAACTCAGAATTCTGAGTTCAAATCTGTTTTAATTATCACAGCTTTATAATGTGTCTTGACACCTGGTAAAGCAATTTGTTCTTTTTCAAAACTGTCTTGGCATATTCTTCCATATAAATTTATAATTAGCTTGTCAATTTCTATTAAAAATATTGAGATTTTAAGATTGCATTGCATCTGTAGATTAATCTGGGGTGTATTAATAGCTCTACAATATTTAGCCTTTTATTCCATGAATATGATATTGCTCTTCATTTGTTTAAGGCTTACTGTAGTTAAAATTTTATACAATTTTTGTTCAGGTTATTTCTGGGTACCTATGTTTTATGTTGGTGCTATGAATGGGATCGTTTTCCTTTTATAGTTTTTTGTTAGATATTTATAGGCTTAAAGGAAAATTACTAATTTTGAGATGTTGACCTTGATTCGAATACTCTGTTCACCCTCTTGAATGTAGCAGCTGCTGTCCTCACGGTCACCTGCACTTCTGTGGCTGTCGCTGCATCTTTATGTGCTCCATCACCGCTGCCAATTCCTTTGTAGCTGCTGCTGTTGCCATCCTCACCATGGAAGCACCACCAATGGCATTTCCTTTCTTCACTCAAACCCCAATCCTGAAACAAAAGTTTTTTTAGAAACCTGGCCTTTTTTTGTTTTAAATAAAGTGATTTTGGTTTCAGAAGTTTCATAAACCAATGTAACCTATGTTATACACTGTGTATGTCCAACGTGCCCAAACACAAGACAACCCTGGATAGGGGATCTGCATTGTTCTGATGAGAATATGCAAAAAATTATTTGCCTATTTTGATATATGTTTATGAAGTCCTCAATATAAAATTCATGTCCACTTGTCACAGCTTATTACACATATACATTAAAAATATATTTTAAATGTCAATTTAGAATTTTCCACTGTAAGATTTCATGAAATAATTTTATTCAAACTTTTCATAAACATCTTGAAAATTAGAGACATCATGAACCACTTTTTCCTTTTTTAGGAACATTAGCCCTGAGCTAACGTCTGTCGCCAATCCTCCTCTTTTTGCTGAGGAAGATTGGCCCTAAGCTAACATCTGTGCCCATCCTCCACTATTTTCTGTTGGGATGCCTGCTACAGCGTGGCTTGATAGGCGGTGCGTAGGTCCATGCCCAGAGTCCGAACTGGTGAACCTCAGGCCACCGAAGCGGAGTGCAGGAACTCAACTGCTACGCCACAAGGCCAGCTCCATGAGCCACTTATTGAAGCATCACACCTCACTCTCACTTCTAACTGGTCTAAGTGAGATACACTACTTGAATCTGTAAATGATGTGGCCACTGGAAATTTTATCCCCCTAAATAAGTACCCCTTCTAGAACATCAGGATCTTTTCTTCTTCATGCAGTTTATTTATGACCTCCACAGCATAACTACTTTTTAATGTAAACTTCACTGAAGTTTAACACGTATGAAAGTGTATAAATCTTAAGTTTATGGCCTGATGAATTTTCAAAGTGAAGACACTCATACAATAAGAACCCAGATGAAGAGTACCCCAAAGGGCCTCTCATGCTGCCCTGCAATCACCTCCCCTAGGGCCCCACTCCTCCTCCTGCTATGGTGACACCATCCTGACTTCTAACGCCACAGATCAGTTCTGCCTGGCTTGGAACCTTACATGAAATGGTATAAAACAATTTATACAGTATATAATTTGGTCTGGATTCTTTCACTCAGGATTATATTTGAGACCCCTCCATGTTGCTGCATCTAGTTGTGGTGTGTTCATTTTCATTAACGTAGACTGTCCCAATGTATGGATAATGTACGGATATACTCCACTTTTACCATTCAATTGTAGATGGATATTTGGATGTTTCTTGATTTTGGCTATTATGAGTAGTGCTATGGGCATTCTCGTACTGGTTTTATATGCACGTTTCTGTTGGGCCTACCTTGGAGGAGAATCATTGGGTTAGACGTATGTGTGTGTTCCATCTCAGCAGACCCTGCCAGTTACACTCCCATTAGCAGGTCACCATACAGCCTTGCTAATATTTGGGATTTCTGCTATCTTAACTAGCCGTTCAGGTGGGTGTGTTGTGGCATTTTACTACAGTTTTTATTTGTATTTCCCTGGTCTTATTAAGCACATTTTCATGTTTATTACTCATACTTATATCCTATTTTGTGAAGTACCCATTTGAATCTTTTGCTCATTCTGTTGGTTTATCTTTTTTTAAGTGAATTTGTGGGTGTTCTTTATATATTCTAGATACAAGTTCTTTGTCAGATATATATATTGTAAGCATCTCCACCCACTTTATGGCTGGCCTTCTTACTCTTAATGGTGGCTTTACTGTATTGTATTGTTTCTTAAAGAGATCTTAAAGAGGGTTTTACAACATTTATAACCCAGGAAATCTGTCAATTCCTTTACCTCCTTTCATACCTGATTCTGTCAGGGGACTTTCAGAAGCAGACAAAACTAGTATGGGGAGGTCATTCTTAGGTGGTTGTTTACTATGAAGTTGTTGAGACGGTTCCTTATAACATGAGAGACCTTGAGAGAGAATTTTTTCTGGGAGGGAAAACATCGTACACACTTAGACCTATGTAAGAATTCATGTCCGCCCAGGCCAGTATTTGCAGCACAGAAAAGCAAACTCAAATTTACTGGCCTCCTAGATATCCTTGGCAGTCAATTCTACGTTGTAACTGAAGGCTTCTGTCTTTACTGCACTCACATGAGCCAACTCCTCTTAATGTATGCATCTCCTACTAGTTCTTCCCTGATTAACACAATCATCTCAGGACCAGAATGTTTTTCTTTACAAAGGATTACCAACAACATACAAAAAATTCATAAGCGGTTTTCCTTCTTAGAGGACACAGACTGGTTAGACTAGACCCCTTTGCGTGGAGCTCATTACAGGGCTCAGTCTCCACTACTGCTATTTAAATCATACTCATTTTCAATTTTTTAGTACAATCCAATTAACATTTAAATAGTACTAGTTTTATAACTTTAAGAACCTGACGTCTTCTTCAATTTCCACGTAATATGCATTCTTATGCAATGTTTAAAATGTATAACCTTTGTGCTGTTTAACAGAAAAATACATTTCTTTAAAACAATCAGATTTTATTTGTGTTTCAAAAGTTTGCCAATTATGTTCTTAAAGGAACACAGTTTGATATTTACAAATCTCTTCTGTAATGATTACTTTTGTAATGATTACTCTTGGCGTGTTCATCGAGCTAAATTTCTGTGTGTAACTAAAGGAAAAAAATCTGTGTTTACAGTAACATATGAAACATTTTCTCATCCAGCTATGATCAGATTGAATCTTATTATTTAATTTTTGTCTCTTGAGAGATGCTCAAAAACAATGTCCACAAATTTATTTGGCTCAATATATAAGACCGAAGTAGATAAGAAGAGAAATATCACTGGATTGGGTTTAAGAAATCTGGCTTCTAATCTTAGCCATCCCACAAATAACTCCATTTCCTGTATAATGATGGGGAATTCACTTAACCTTCCTGAACCTACCTCCTTATTCAACAACTAACAAATATTTAATTAAATGCCTACTAGAAGCCAAGCAGTTGCTAGACACTAGAGATTATACATAACAATGAACATGACGAAGAACAGTCTATGCCTTCATAGGTTAAAGTCTGGCAAGGTGAGCAGTTTAGGCTAAATTACTTTTAAACCCTCTGCTCCAGAGTTTGTATTCTATGATTTGAATGGGATTACATTCATATTCTGTGACCTGAGGTCAATATAACAATGATTTCCAAATGAACTCAAAAAAGCTGTAAAGTATTAAGTATTTTATGAACACTGATAAAATAACTTTTTAAATCAGAATCAGGTTTCCTATATCAGAAGGTGATTCAACTACTGAGTGAAGCGTTTTCAGCAGTATGAAATCCAATGTTTTGAAATCTTTTCCCCCTGCAATTATGTTTACTACAATTTTATCATCTTGAAAAGACTCTGTTATCTGAAGTTTTTCATGCGTTCAGGTACTTTGCATGATGTCTGATGTGGTCAGCAATAAAGGTTGCAATGAAGTAGTAGCTGTGATCATAACCCTAGAAGACAAAAGAGAGACATGGTGAGACATTTATCTACCATTCAGAAACATCAATATTAGGGACATTAAATATCTCTCATGTCACTTAATTTGCTTGTAAATAGTCAAAACCTTATGAGGAAGGTTTTAATCAAAATCAAGATTATACTTATACTTCAACATTTTCACTGAACATTAAAAGAAGAGCAAAAACTGAAGAAAAACTAAACATTCTGCATAGCCTAGTTTCTACATGCTGCCATTAACATGCAAAGAGAGGAAATAACACAATGATTAAATGCACAGAGTAAACGTGGTCATATCAGTAAGAACTAAAAGATTCAGAATTTAGAGAGCTTAGAAACATGGGCAAGAAGTTCCAACTCACAAAAGAAACTAACATCAGTAAGACAGAGAACATCAAAACACACAAAAAAGCACACATTTAACAATACAGAGAAAGAACTCAAAAATGCTTCACCATTGTTCAGGAAGTCAAACACAGCTATTATAAATCACATTAAGAATTCCACCACCTACACAGTAAAAGTATATCATATCTTTGAGGAAAAAGGAATAATTCATTAAACCCTGACATTCCTTAGCCACAAACCAAACTGGGTAAAAAGTCAGTAAATTCTTTTGAAAACTACCATGTAACAGAGAGAAGACGTAATGTGCCAAGCAGTTGAGCTGAAAGAGATCTCAATCTATCTAGTCAATTAAAACCCCCAACACAGGCAAATGGAGGGGCAATCCTTCCTTGGGGTGTCCTCTGAGTACCAGATAACAAGTAGCTTCCAAAGGAAAAAGAAAAAAAAGTTAAGGTGAGAAGAATGTAAGGGTGTTAAACACAGATAGTTTTTGGGACCCCCTCACCTCCCCAAACAATTAAAACACAAGGTGAAACAGACTGAAATAAAAGTCTAAGAAAAATTTTTAAAGTTTTATGTTAATCTAAGGAATGGTCTCTGATGGGAGAAAACGGACATTTTCCTAAGCACTTAAGAAACAAAAATAGACCTAATAAAAACATTACCTGGGTTTCAGGGAACGGGGCAAATCCCTAAGGTTTTTGATGAATCAGTAAATGTTCTCAACCTCTTACTTTCAGAGGTATGCAATGTATGTCTTGGGAACAGCAGTTAATAAAGAGTTCTGGCTTAAAGTCATCAAAGTAACTTAAAAGCAATCTGTCCTCTTCTTCGTGACCAAACAGAAGTGAATCTGACGGGAACACTGTCAAAATTAAGGCTGAGCCTTGGAATTATTTGGTTTCACACCTCTCAGTGATTAGACCAGTCCCAGTTAATTAAATTTAGAGCTGAAGGACAGTCTCTTATAGAAAGAAAGAAACTTGAAGGGCCAGACTCAGTGGCCTACTGGTTAAGTTCAGTGCACTCTGCTTCAGTGGCCAGGGTTCTGTTCCCAGGCGCGGACTTACACCACCTGTGTGTCAGTGGCCATGCTGTGGTGGCAACTCACATGCAAAAAGAGGAAGACTGGTAGATGTTAGATCAGGGTGAATCTTCCTTAGCAAAAAAAAAAAGAAGAAGAAGAAAAAAGAAAGAAAGAAAAACTTGAAGAAAAACATTTTTTACTCATGTAATTCTTGCATTGTTAAGAAGTTAAACAGGCCCATGATTTTCAGGCCACAAAACCTGTGAAATATACTACCAGGTAGTACCTGTCATTTTTCACACATGAAAAGATGGATCTGAAAATAGGCACAGATGCAAGAAAACAGATGCCTCAAAACACCTGTGGAACAAAAACTCTAATGTGACTGAGTATGCTGTATTTTTATGCTTAGTTTCACGAAGGTTCAGAGCCTTGCACAGTTTCAGGTACATAGTGGGTAGCCACCATTATTACTGTTATTTATTATTATTATTATCATATTAGAGAAGTCCCAGTTTAAACCAAAGTGACAGTTTTGACCTCTCAGGGGTGAACTGCAAGAATAACAGTGCATTTTATCTAAAATACAAGTCAAATGTCCTTAACTTCCATAATGATATTTAACGGAAGATCCATCTTTACGAGAAAATAGAAAATGCTTGTCATGAGGGACCAAGAAAGATTTTTTAAAACGTCAACATAAAGGCAAGAGAACACATCTGAAGTACTGGCATTCTGGTAGACAGAAGACGCTTACATAGTTAAAGCTAATTGTGTCATTCTTGACTAGTTTCAAGTTCTATTTACCAATATTATTAAATGGGGGAAGCTGCCTTCATTAAATTCTTTGAGTTGGTTTGGTACATTAAGTGGCTTGTGCAATTATGTCTATTTAGTGACACTTGAAAGGGCCCTACTTTCCTCTCCTACCTCACACTGGAAATGGAAAAATCCTCAGTAGCAAAACACTGACTCTTAGGGTATAAAAATAAATGAACGCATTCTTTTATTCTTCACTCAATTCTCAAAAAAGCAGCAATGCTCCAGCAGTTATGATGAGCATTTATTCTAACAGGCAGTGTTTTCCCACATATTTTCCAGATTCAATTAGGAGAGCTAAAATATGAATCCCCCGGTTACCAAGCCTTTTCGAGGACAAAGAAGAGGATTGGTGAAAGGTCTTCATTTGCTTATTTAATAAGCACTTCTGGAGAGTCTATGTGCTAGATAATTAAGCTAAGCATGAAGATACAGAAATGAATGCGAGATCCCTGCATTTCTGGAATTCTGTGCCATGTTCTTACTCTTCTCTAACAGGCAGACCCAGAGGCCAAAACAATCTGTGATTCTTCAAAAAGGGCCTAATACTTAAGGAGGTAGTACAGCCTTGTTTCGAGGTTTCTAGAAGTTAGCATTAGGTCACTGAAATTTTTCCTTCACTATGTAACTTCAATAACTAAAAATAAGACATACTAGGCCTCTCCACTTCAGACTAACGTTGGACCTTTGCGTATTAGCTATCAGAATTCTACTACCTAGTGCTTTTCAATTTAGATTCACTAAAGCCAAAACAGAAAAATTATATGAAGTAACAACCAAATAAATATCCCTATGCACTACCTCTCCCTCTCAATTTTTTTCTGACAGTTGACAGTATAAATATAGATTGTGGACATTTAACACTATTAAATAGAGGTAAAGGAATGAAGTTGGGTAAACCATGTACATAGTTGTATTAATTTTCTTTCTTTCTCCTCAGATCATTTACTTATATATACCCTCTATTATTTTCAGCTTATTTAATTCTTCACAGCTCCCATTTCAGACAGAAACACAGCTATACTGTGCTTAGAATCAAATGATAAAGCAGATGATAAGACTCAGCCCCGAGCAACCTGAAGTCGGTGGAAGCAGCCCCTGCGCAGGCATGTGCACGGAGCTTCTCATTCCATCACAGCAAACCTAACACGACCTGCTTCAGACTGTGCAGTTCGTCCCTAACCTGACCCTGCTGGAGCGAAAGTGAGCGAGAACTTGTGCCTGATCTAAAGACTGTGACTAGTGATGTCAATACTTTCTCACTTTTTACAAAAAGAATTGAATGCTTTGTTTCACTCCTCATTAAGTATAGCCAACTGTGTTTTTTAGTTGCTTGGGATATAAGCATTCTAGAAATAAAAAGTGGATTTATTTTTTTCCTTCCAAGAATTTCAACAGTGTTCTAACTCTACAGCATTTTTATGACAAACCCTAAAAACCTTTCAGTCTTTGCTGGCAGCTGAAACTTTGCAGTTGGTAGCAACAACAGAACTTCCTGGTACAGCCTCGAGGGAAGCAGAAGAGGCATCCGACACTGCTAGTGCCAAGAAGTTAAGTCATTTAGGAAAAAACATGGCATGTTACCTCACATAGAGCTATAGTTACCATAGTTAAACCCACTGCTGTATTTATAATCAAATTGGTATCCGGATTCTCAAAGTGGGTTACTGATCTAAAACGTAATTCTAGTGATAAATGTTCACATTAATCTAAAAAAATTCTTATTTAAGGATAGATACTCAGAGACAACAAAGTAGATAGAATGTATTGGTTTTTGAAATTTTTTCCACATGATATACATATTGTTTACATGTTCAAACTATCAGGGAGATTCAAAAAACAGGGAGATTGCTTAGATCTGCTACAAAAGATATGACAGATAGCAGGCCATGCACAATTTCTCCCTTTGCTGGCTCTAATGCCATCCCTTTGCTCCTCAGGAGCACTCCTCCACCGTGCTTGGGAACGGTTAAACAGACGACAGCAGGACAGTATTTGTAGTTAAATGACCTTGCTTCCAGTCCCGGTTCTACCATAAACTAGCTGTGTGACCTTAGAGAAGTAGGTTCTTTTCTGAGCCTGTCTCCTCATCTGTAAAACAGACCAACAGGAGCCATATATGAAAACCCACAGTGAACATTATACTTAATGGTAAAATACTGAAAGCTTTTCCTCTAAGTTTGGGAACGAGATAAGTATGCCCATGTCAGCGACTTCTTTTTTTTGAGGAAGATTAGCCCTGAGCTAACATCTGCCACCAATCCTCCTAATTTTGCTGAGGAAGACTGGCCCTGAGCTAACATCCATGCCCATCTTCCTCCATGGTTTATGTGGGACACCTGCTACAGCATGGCTTGATAAGTAGTATGCAGGTCTGCACCTGGATCCAAACTGGGACCTCAGGCTGCTGAAGCAGAGTGCACAAACTTAACCACTATGCCACTGAACCAGCCCCTGGCAACTTCTATTCAACACAGAACTGGACGTTCTAGCCACAGCAATTACGCAAGAAAAAGAAATAAAGGCATCCCAATTTGGAAAGGAAGAGGTAAAATTATCTGTTTGCAGATGATATGATCTTATAGTAGACAACCCTAAAGATTCCAAAAATAAACTGTTAATTGAGCCAATAAATGAATTCAGCAAAGCAGCAAGACAGACTCAACACACAAAAATCAGGAGCATTTCCATACACTAACAACAAACAATCTGAACAGGAAATCACAAAAACAACTCCCATTTACAACAGTATCAAAAAGAATAAAATACTTAGGAATTAACCAAGAAGGTGAAAGACTGTACAATGAAAACTACAAACACTGCTGGAAGAAATTAAAGACACAAATAAACGGAAACAGATCCCATGTTCATGGATTGGAAGACTTAATACTGTTAAGACATCAATACTACCCAAAGCAACCTACAGATTCAATGCAATCCCTACCAAAATTCCACTGACATTTTTTGCAGAAATAGAAAAGCGATCCTACAATTCATGTGGAATCTCAAGGGACCCCAAATAGCCAAAACAATCTTGAAAAGGAAGAACAAAACTGGAGGACTCATAGTTCCAGATTTCAAAACTTACTACAAAACTACAGTGGTCAAAACAGTATGGTACTCGCATACATAGACACAGAGATCAATGGGACAGCAAGCCTAGAAATAAATCCTTGCATATATAGTCAAATGATTTTTGACAAGAGTGCCAAGACCATTCAACGGCAAAAGGACAGTCTTCAACGGATTGTGCTGGGAAAACTAGATATCCACATGCAAAAGAATGGATCCTTAAGCTAACCTAAATTAGACAAAAATTAACTCAAAAGGGCTCAAGGACCTAAATGTTAAGTCCTAAAACTATAAAAGTCTTAGAAGAAAACGTATGGCAAATGTTCCATGACACTGGACTTGGCAATGATTTCTTGGAAATGACACCAAAGGCACAAGCAACAACAAGAGTGAAACTGGACTTCGTGAACATGAAAAGCAACTCAATGCAAAAACGGGCTAAGGACTTAGATGTTTCTCCAAAGATAAACAAATGGCCAATAAGCATATGAAAAGATGTTCAGCATCACTAATCATCAGGGAAATACAAATCAAAACCACAATGAGATAGATACTACCTCATGGCGATTAGGATGGCTACTATCAAAAAAAGAAAAGAAAAGAAGTGTTGGCAAGGATGTGGAGAAACTGGAACCCTTGTCCACTGTTGGCGAGAATGTAAAACGGTACAGCTGCTATGGAAAACAGTATGGAGGTTCCTCAAAAAATGAAAAATAGAATCACCATCTCATCCAGAAATTCCACTTTTGGCTATACACCCAAAAGAAATGCAAGGAGGGATGTGAATGGATACTTGTACACCCACGTTTACACCAGCATTATTCACAACAGCTAAGATTTGGAAGCAAGTCAAGTGTCCATTGAGACGAATGGATAAGTAAAATGTGGTATAGACATACAATGGAATATTATTCAGCCTTCAAAAGGAAGGAAATTCTGACACATGCTACAACATGGACGAACCTGAAGAATATTATGCTAAGTGAAATAAGCCAGTCACAAAAAGACAAATACTGTATGATTCCACTTATATGAGATACTTAAACTAGTCGAAATCATAGAGACAGAAAGCAGAATGGTGGTTGTCAAGGACTGGGGGTAGGTGGGAATGAGGAGTTAGTGTTTAATGGGTACAGAGTTTCAATTTCACAAGATGGAAAGAGTTATGGAGATGGATGGTAGTGATAGTTGCACAACATTATGAATATATTTAATACCACTGAAGTGTACATTTAGAAATAGTTAAGATGATTAATTTTATATATCGTGTTTTACCATAATAAAAAAAGTTGAATTAAAAAAAACATATGGACAGGATCGGAAATTCAGTCTCTCATTTGGTCATACAAGGATAAAATGAGCTAATGCTGTGAAAACATTTTGTAAACTGAAAGGTACCACATTGCACATTGATCTAGATTACTCTGAATATTTATCATTATAATTACATGTTTTAGATCAACGTGCTTGACATTACCCTTAAACATAAATAAAAATGTTTTTAAAAATCACCATCATGTACAATTTTGTGTTCACTTTTTATCCTGAAATAGTTTGTTTATATTATGTTCTAAAGGTTATGAATAAATAACTTTTAAAAAATAAAAGCAGAATTTCTTTAATTATAACTGTATTAGCATAGAGTCAGGTGAGTAGTAGTCAATAGTCCTAAGTTAAGGAAAATTTAAAATGAAAATTCAGTAATTATTCTTAAACAACTAGAAACACCAAGTAGCACAAGAGATAGATTAGCATCTAACTCAAACAATACAGAGTGCATATGTGTGTGTGAGGCTAAGTGAGCTGTGTACATAAAGTGAAGAGTAGTTAAGGTGGAAGCCTGTCCTTTTTATTCTACTGCGAAAATAGCTGCATGTGTAAAGAAAGATATATCTAGTAATGCTGAAGATCAAGTACTATTGAAGCATTAAATTTCTTATTCACTGATTTTATAGTGGGACAGAAAATCGTAAATACTTTTCAATACCCAAACCTTTCCTATTTCTATGGAATTTCTTCTTAGGTATCATTAACTTAATACGAAAGCTTTCACTTTAAGCGTCTTATTATAATTAAAAAAATATCTTACAAGAGGTGGCTTGCCAAATCTAAAATAAAATTAAGAAAGTACTGCAGAATCTTGCTTTTTTAGTTATTTATAATAAGCTAAGGTTTCCTAGTACTTGCCTCTTGTAATCTAAAAACAACAGGGATTTTCTTTTCTGTACAGGCAGTTATGAAGTTATCAGGTAGTAACTGTCCATCTGAAAGAAACTGGTCCTCTTTTCCTTGATCAATTAGTATGTCCAGCTGAGAACCTGGATAGGACTTCACAAGATGGGTTGCATCATAAGCCTATAAAAAGAGGAGAAATACTGAAAAAAAATTTAAAAGTGTCCACTCCACAACATACTAGACTAGAACCAAATAGGGATTTAAAGTCATTTAAGCTCTAAGGCTGATTAAATTGGAAATATGCTTTTACGTTGGCTTGCCTGGTTTTTATTTATAAGGTCTTCAGAATTCTATTTCCCAATTATAGCCTCTTCGCCACTTTCAAGCAGTCCTAGCCCAGCGGCAAGAATTCTGTATCTCAAGCATTCTTCAGAGTACAGTCTTTTTTTCTTCTAAACCTTTAAAGTTCTTAATCACCTCTCAACTCCAAAAATACCCATAATTTTTTTGTTTGTAAATCTCTCCACAAATTATTTATTTTAACTCCATTAGCTTTTTCTATTTCTACATATTCTCTATTTCAAATAAACAATTTATTTTATTTTTTCCTCTTTTCTTCTGGCTCTAATTCCAGACATAAACACATTCAGCTCTCTCTTCTGCAGTCTTTTGAATGGCACCAAACTCTGCTATTGCCACGAGCTTTCAGGAAGACTTGATTTGAATAATCTGAATAATATTATCAATTCCTCAAATGTATAATCTGAGGAGCTAAAATTTCACATTTTACCATCCATCTTTAAATATTCTTCATTATTCATATATATTCACTAACCACAACTTTGATGCATCAATCAAGACAAACAAAGACCAAAAAATTTCTCCTTCTAAAGTATCATGCTTTTTACGACTTGCTTACTTTAATTTTAAAACGGGACAGTGGAAGGGGATTTTTAAAGTCCAAATAGTTCTAAGTTCTGATTTGATAATTCTGCATAGCCTCCTATTCCAACAGTAAATTAAATAATAGCCTAAACACAGCATAAAATAATAGAATCTACTGTCACTTGGAGAAAACTTATATAATGAGATTCCTTTATAGGTTACCCATGCTTCTACCTCTCCCCTCCCTCTTCCAATCAGTTGGTCTTTTAGCCAACTCTACCATTAGACCATAAGTCCCGTGTGGATGGGAAAGGGTCATCACCTTCATGACATAAAGTCTCAGAACCCCTCACAGACTCTGCACATGCAAGGGCTCAAAACACTGATATACCTGCACTGTCAGTTCTCAAAGTACTCAATAGTAATTATTTTCAGCATTCTTCCAATACAATAAAAATCCAAGCCAAAACAAAACTCTAATCTAGTGACTAAAGGATTAACCCTCCAGTCTGTTAGAATTTCAGTGACCAATCTTAAATAAAATGGGAGTCCATGTGTAAATAATCTTAAACATACAACAATAAGACAAAAAAAGGTTTTATTTTTCCACTCAAATATCTTCTACTTGTTAACATGCACGTGATGATGAGTTCATCTGCAAAATACTCAAACTCTTGGTGGAATTTGCAAATAGCCCACTTCTGCACAAGAGTAAAAAGAGTCCCAGGAGAAAGGGACATTTTAATTTTCATTTTGAAGCATTTGCTCCTTTGCTTGAAAAAGCAATCTTGACACTGGGAATGTTCATATAAACATACATTACACAATATCTATTTTTAAAGTCTTTAAAGAATTTAAAATCTAAATCTGAGAGATGCTGGATTTTGAAACAGATACACAAATATTAAAAAGTCAGGCCTTGTGGCTCCTACTGCATAATTGAGCACATACTTAACAAGAGGCAAAACTAAATTTAGTAATAATAAGTGGTATTTCTGGGTAATGTTAACTTAGAAATAAACATGTAAATTAATCATTATCAGAAAAAAAAATGTAGCCTCAGAATATCTGCCATAATTCAATTGGAAAATGTTTTTTTTTGTTATTGTTATATGTATACACTTTTGCTAATTAGTTTTAGCTCTGGATCCTTAACCTGAGTGAGCTAGAAATACCACATCTGTAGTCTGTCGCTTTTCAACAAATCTGAAAACTTAATGAGTATGAAGACAGCCACCCAGTACATACCTTCCATTTATTTTGATCTGTTCCCAAATATCCACTAAAGGCTTTTTTGCCCCAAGGACATAGCACTGGGTTGCAAATTGGAGCAAATGCTGACACAGACTTCAGAAACAAAGGAAATTTAAAAACAAGTTATATTTTGCTAAATCAAATGTGAACAGATATTTGCAACTTGCTTAAAAACTCAGAAGTTTATTTGACCTTGTTTATAAACTCTGACTTGCCATGAAAACCCCTGTGAACAATTTTCCTTCTGCTATATTACAGGTTTAGATTGTAGGCCTCTCCAAGGTACATCTTCTGTGTGTTTGATTAAGACAGCTAACAAACTCTAGGTGCTAAAATAATATGAAGCAATACATTACATTTTCATTAAATAAGGCACAAATGAAAGTTTATGATCAGACTTTCTACTCATTTTTTCCACTTAAAATTGATGAATAGTAACATAAAACAGTTCACGCCTACCTTTGTGAACACGTTATTAAATCCGAGACACATTATTTCTCTTAGTGCAAAGAAAGTACTGAGAAAAGTGCTTAAATATGGCAGAATTTTTAATACAATTTTCCCTTGCAGGACATTTTGTCCAGCTCAAAATGTCCATGAACATATTGGTCTATGCCAAATCGTTTTGGACAGGATCAAGTGTCTGTTAATCCAATTTTATGTTCTGTGCAATGTTGTTTTTTACAGGATAAGGTACAGAGATGGACTCTCAGTTTCAGAGTTCTTATCAATGTATATGTTTACTAATGTCTAATAGTTTTCTTAAAGGACAAAAACTCCAAATAAATTTGATTTTCTCCCTCAAACACAACAAATTGATTGCCTTACATAAAAAAAATGGGAAATAAACTCTTATTTTGAAAACCCACTGTCATCCCATGAATTAATTTAACTGTATAATAAACCTTACCAAAGAAAAATATTTGGTGCCACAGCAAGAAACTGCTATGAGAAATATTCTCATTTCTCAGTGGCACACCTGAAATGATTAAGAACTTGTTCCTAAGGGAAGGAAATGGCTTAAAAAAATCTTGAGGTTTCTGATAGCCCTGTGATTTTAAAGACAGAAGCAACCCTAAGATAATCATTGCCTCAGCATTTCCTTTTTCAACACTATGGCATGCTGCTCTGTCCACTATGACATTCTACATACGGTGCTTATTCCAACGTGGCTCATTAAACACATGTAAAGCTATAAAGTTTCAAATAAATGAATGAGAAGGCTGAAAGTGATATTTTTCAATCAAGTTGCATTCCAATTTTCATCAGAGGCATTAAGATCAGAGATTTCTTAAACTTCTACAAATCATAAATATCTTCTTGTACCTGAGAACGTCAGTCAACTTTACAAAGATATTCCTAATAAAAATATAAGTAAATGATACATACTGCCACCATAATGTTCACCAAGAATAACCTTCAAGAAAAAAAAAATACCTGGAAAATTACAGTTTGAATAGAAGCAACAAAAATTGCTTTATAATATTTCTAGTAGACCAACAAGAAACCACTGTGATAGAGTTCCTACTTCTGTATTATACCTTGTGTGGTCAAATTTAATAGTCTTCCCCCACAACACCTTGAAATTCCAACAGTAGAAAAGTTTACTCCCAATACTAAAACAATAATATCCTAATTTCAATCTTTGAAAGTTCCTAATATTATATTATCAAAGAGAAATATTCATTACAAGAAGCTTAGGTAATCTTACTTTGTATTTTCCAGGATTCTTCAAAGCACAAATCAGAGCTCCATGGCCTCCCATGGAGTGGCCAAAAATAGACATCCTTTGGGGGTCCACTGGAAAATTGGCATTTATGAGCTGGGGAAGCTGGAGAGAATTTAACAGTGTGACAAAAGATATGAGAGAAATAAGTTGAGACTTTTACAAAGTCATATAAAATAATTACAGAATTAACACTTCTAAATCACAGTCTTACAACAGTTTGAACTAGTAAAGATAAAAAAAACTCCGGTAGACCATGATTATTAATACATCACTGGAGAATATATGGTAAATCCTCCTTAGGAAAGCAACTTAAGATGATGATGCAGAAAGAACCTTTAAATTGTTCTGAATTTTTGACCTAGCAATTTCACTTCTTGGAATCTATTCTAAGCGGAAAGTCCTTGGAATAGAAAAAAAATTATACACAAACATAATCAATGCAGTAAAATTTATTATGGTAAAAAATATATGTATATACATAAATATCCTACATTAGGAAAATGAAAATTATGGCATATGACAGAATATTATGCAATTATTAAAGCTGTTACAGATAGATTAGATTTGAAAATATTTATTTTATACAATTAAAAAAAGAACAACAAAAAGTTTTACAATTATATTAAAATTAGTCATACCAAAAAAGCGTGGACTATACTAAAACATACAAAACATAGTTGTTGTTTGAGTTGATAGAATTATGGGTAATTAAAATTTTATATTATTGTTTCTGAGATTTTATGATATACAAAACATCACATAAAATTAATAAAATCATATAAAATTTAGAAAAATGCATAAACTGAATATAAATATTATTGAAAGAAGCAATGCTTATCACTTACTTATCCTTTCTGGCTAAGCCTTGGTTAATCACTGTAAAATATGTCTGAATGAACCAGCTGCCAGAGAAATGTAGGTTTTTTCATATACTATTTTCTTTGCATAACCTGGGTAGTACATATGGGTATCGATATAATTATTAAACTCTTTAAAATTGTACTTCATGTTAAGTTGAATTGCAGTAAAAAAAGACTATAGTACTAGTAAACTTAGGAATTTTCACTAAAGTAATTAATAAATATGTACCAAATAGATTCAACAACACCAAAGCCTAGTTTAAAATTCTCAGTACTGGAAGGACTTTGTGTCCAAAATCAAACTTCTGGCAATCATCAATTAATAATTACAGAATAAAATTAAATTAAATTACCTCCTCTGTTACATAAGAGTACATCCTATAGTTAGTTTTCCAAGGATCTTCAGTGGCATCCACATAAAACCCAGCACCAGTGCCAAAGTCCCAGCTCTCATCTTCTCCTTTAATATTGCAGCCACCTACCAAGGAAAAATCTTGTGGTTTCATCTACTCGATAGTGATGGCCCATGTTTAATAACACACTTTTAAATGAACCTGAAAGTTCATTTGCATTAGGGCTGTTCACCAAATATTGTGGGCTCTCTGCCTTTTGGGGTGCATTATGTCCTGGCCCTCTTGAATGGGGCCATGTGAGTAGTTCTACTCAATGAGGTGAGAAAGGGAATGCCCTTCCAGGCTGGGGTATTCACTGTCAAGGAAAGGCACACTGGCTTTCTTTGTTGAAGTGCCCTCGTACGGACTCTGGATGTATGTGCCATCACTCTGTTTTACCTGTCAAAGGGCTTATATCCTCTTTTCATCTTTCAGAAACGTGTTGAGATTCCTTCTCTGATGACCCTCCCCCATCATCAACCCTCTTGAATTCTCTTTACCACTGTGGTCTTAGAAGGGAAGGGAGACAAATGCTTGTGCTCAATTCACTATTTTGAAAGGGAAACGTCTTCTTATGTACTCTAATATCATTTCATCCATACTTCCCCTATTTACTCATTCCCCAACGAGATTTTCTTATATTCTTTTTTTTATTAGGTTTTATTTTATACACTTGCATATAGTTAAAAAGTCAACCATTGGGATTTTTAATACAATTATAGTAATATGTAGAGTCATATGAGGGAAATGACCTCTTCATAATACTCCGTCTACCCATCCAGGAACACGGCATTTTTCCATTTCTTAAAGTCTTCAGAATTTACAATCTTTAGCAAATTTCATGTTTTTTTAAAAAAAATAAATAAATCTTCATATTTTTAAAGTTTATTCCTAGGCATTTTATATTTCTGATGCTATTTTGAATTAAGCTTTTTATTACATTTCTAGTGAGACATGTTTTACTTTCGTATAATATGGCTTGTGAAAGAAAATGCACTACTTCCCAAGGTCAGCCATTTAACTTCCAGTTAATTTTAGTTGTCATTTAAATTCCATTCCCTGACACTTCTATAGTCACAACATAAGTTTTAACTCTCTAATGGGTTGAGTTCTTAAACATAGGATATTCTCATTCCTCTAATGTAAACATTCTAATTATTTATATTAAAACTTTAACTATGATTGTTGATTGACGGTGAACAGAGACGAGAAAAGACATAATTACCATATGACAAGACAGTTTACCTATGGAAGAGAAAAATTTCTTATGCATTTAGTGCTATTTTGACACTAGTGCCAATATGATGTATTAATTGAGTTGTTCAATCTCTGTTTTCAAGTGTTTTAATCTACAAAATGGGAATAGCAAAACTGTTCCCTCCTAAGAGATGTCATGAGTGAAGTTCAGTGAGAAAAATTATAGCATGGTATTCTAGAGTCATGATGTCACCTGAAAGATTGAGATAATAGCAAAAATATGAACTGAATTATATAGTGTATCTATTATACCACTTATAACTTAGTCTTAAAGATTTAGATTTGTACAAAGGATCTCTGGAACAAGAACACTTACGAGGGCTGGTATCTGGAGCGATGACAACAAGGCCATGTTCTGAGGCAGCCTGATGATAACCAGATTTTGAAATAAAATTTTGCTCTGTGCAAGTTAAACCTGAAGATAAAAAATATTGTTATCTCATGCTATACTGTGAATGATTTATAAAGTCTCATCATTTTATAATACAGAAAACCAAGCTTGCTTGGTATTAAATTTTTTTTTTTTTAGAAATAATTCTGAAGACATTAAAGTTCCCTTTCTCATAAGATTTATAACAGTATTAATCTAAGAACTGTCTTAGGTTAAATGTTTTTGTGATTTTCTAGATCATTGCCAGAGAAGATCCATGGACTCCAATTAAAATATTCTAGAGAAGACCATAAGAAGTTACTTTCTGTGGTTTCTAATTAGTGTATCATGGTATTCTGGTTTTACCTAATATTATTCTATTTGGGTGGTAAAGTCCAGAAATTCTTGAGTAGGTACAACATAGGTAAACAACTTTTCTAAGTTTTTGCCATTGAGTCCAGAACTTTAGATTCTCTGCTAAATTACTTGGTCTAATTTTAGAAGAAGTGAAATAAATGTAATTCAGTAGGTCTGAAATTATTCTCAGGATAAAGTAAGAGTAGAGTACGACAGGTGCCTAAAGTCTTTTATAAATGGCTCAGAAAGCATACCAATAAGTCAAAATAAAAGAGTAAGATAAAAGAAAAAGAAATTCCTTTATAAAACTCAAATGCATAACACTTACCAGACAGCCAGTATAGGGCAGGGCACTTTCCAGTTTCTGCCTTTGGTGGTAAATAGACTGCAAATTTCATTTTGCAGTTCAGTTCAACACTGTAATTTTAACAGCCACAATAAAAAAATCAATGCCCCTCATTAGTCAAGAGGGAAACATAAAATAAGTGATTTAATGTCCAGAATAAGTGATTCTACCAACATTTAAGAAATATCCCTTAGCCCTTAAACAAGGAATGCAGCCAATTTAGCATATTGATCTATTAAGCAACCTGAGCCTATACTCTGCATGGCACATAGTCATTTTGAGCAGAGTAAGAGAACAAATGCAATGTCCTCAGTGTAGCACTAATATTATTAAAAGAAAAATTGCATCCATTTCTAAAGAGGTGAATGAAATAACAAATTGGCTTTTAGAAAAAATGAATTCTAAAGATCTTAAATTACATGTTTGCTAATGGGCACTGAAATGTACCACATCCTTAATTTGTTCTTTATCACTAATATCTTATTACAATCACTAATATCACGACTAGGTAATTTTGATAAAACCACAGGAATTTTTCCACGTAAACAGTAATTCACGCAACAATGATCTTTCATGGGCTTATTTAGAGAATCAAATAGATGGAAGCAGAATGAGATACATCTAAAATCCTATCTTGTTGGTAGTTACCTGTCATGTTCAAAAACTTTCTGCAATCCCCCAAAGCACTTGTTGCTGGAAATCTGTTTCAACGCCATTCTTCTCCTATTAGTGAAGATTAATCTCATTAATTTCTAGAGAATTAGTTCCTGAAAAATTTGAAACAAAACTAACTGTTTTCAGACAACTTATCCAAACATACAACTGTTTTCCACCTACAATATTTTTTCACATGTTAATTTTCTCTGATAAATAATATTAAGAAACTTTCATACACACACTTACACTTGTTACTCACTTTAGAAACCTTTAGTACTTTGGTATGTTATCACTAATTTATTAAAAAGTTTCTTTTTTCCTTTTGTGGACTGCCCCAAATTCTTTTTAGAAAGAGGCAGAATAAAATAAGTAACTAACTGATTACTTAGCTTAGAAGATTAAAAATTGTTAATAGTTTACCTGTAAACTGTAACAAAGGAGTCAAGGAATTGATATGACTGATTACGGTTGATTTTAAAATGGGAGGAAAATGGGAGTGCAATAATAATGATTTTGATAATAATAACATAATATTTATCCAACATTTACAGTGTGACAGGCATTTTTCTATATGCTAAACCAGATCGAATTTCTCATTCTATGAGTTTTTCAGAGAAAGTGATATGCGACTTTCAGATCAACATTTCTCCTTTAAAACAAACCAACAAGTAAAACATAAGGCTGTTTTAAGTGAATTGCAGGTGCCGCTTGTCCTTGGAAAATTCTCGATTTTGGTAATTATTTTCTCTTCAACAAATCTTTTAAATTTTCATAAATAATTTAAACTTAAATGTTAAAATGCCACACATTAATTTTTTATAATACATACAAAAAAAACCCCTGGAAAACCATCTTTATCATAAGTATGTGTTGATTCTGATTCCCTTCCCCTCCTTATAAAATCAGTAAGCTGTATACACTAAATAAAAAATCCTCAGATAATCAGGAATAGGGATTACCACTCTGGTGCTCTTCTCAGTGAAATATTCTACCATGCACTGATGAGTTGCAATGTTAGAGTTACTCTAAAAAGATATGTAACAATAATCTTAAAAAGCTAATTTTGGAAATGTCTTTGCAAAATTCTAAATAAGATTAGTTTCAATCATATGTTTAAGTAATCTCCTCAATAAATCTAAATACCCAGCTTTGCATGTGACAGCTGGGATTTGAACCAGAAAATCTGACCTCAGAGCCCCTACTCTTTGCTGCTATGCTCTCCTGCCTCCCATAGGGTCTTTAAATATTCTTTTTTTTCCCCCAGACACTCTTAAGATTAACTAATTTTACAGGATTAGGGGATTTCAATTACACACAGAGAAATTACCTTCTATTCACAGGTTTATGCTTTTAATCTATAAAAGATCAATTCTTAAACAACAAATTGCTCACAAGATGTTATTAATTATTGAATACTAATTTCAGCTATTCTTGTTCATGATTCTTTCTTAAAAAGGAACTAACAGAGATACATGTATAATTTTAACATATATACACAAGAGACCAAGGAATACAATTATTTACTGAATTATTCTACAAGGAAATCCTATTTTCTCAAACCTAGCAGGGACTATGTCTGCTTTCCCAAAACATGGTACACTGAATACATATCTAGTACATAAGAGGTCCTAATAATTACTTGTTGAATTAATGAATAATTTATTTTTTTAACTTCCATCAATTATATGAAAGTTTTAAAAATTAGCTTCTCCTTTATTGCTGTTGTTCTATATTTTGTTATTCATCTAAATTAGTAAACCACAACTAGCCTATTTCTTCTGCTCTTTGAATGTTCTTTAATTAAAATTTAAAACCAAATACTTCCCATGTGGCCAAAGAAAACAAAGTTAAAATAATGTCTTTTAAATTGGTAGGATGAACTAAAAACATAAAATCAAAGCTTTTAAAGTTTTTTCCCCCAACCATCCATTTTAGAAACCACCTTCAACTATAAATCAAGAAAAAAGTTAGGTTCAATAAAAAATATGACATAAGCTAACAACTAGATATACTACGAGATATGTATGATATGATGGACTAGCTGATTACCTTTCTCACTAAAATTTTTCTATGTGAAAAATAACATTTTAAACCAAGTTATTAGATTTTTTCATTCAACTTTCAAACACATAATAAGGTACACTAAGACACTATCCAACTGCTACTGCCTTTTTTTGTCTGCACCAAAGGGTAGATGATCCTGAAAAAGAAAAAGACCAAATGCTTTATAAACAGGACATACTTTTCACAACAAAGGTTATGCACACATGTGGGGTACACTACGCACTCTCAAAAGAGACATCATCTTCTCTTGAGGGTGGTGACTGTCTGCCCTGGATATGGCAGCGTGGAAAACACAGCTGAGGGAACAGCATCACCACTTCACCTTGGCCCTTAAGCTAATTACCCGAAGACCCATTTTGCCACAAGGCCTAGTGGTTGCTCAAAAACTTTTGCTGGAGTAAGATTCCTATGAAGAAAGTTTTTGTTTAAAAAAAAATTTTTAAAACGTTTTAAACTGTAATTTGGAAGTATGAGATATGGTCACCTGCTGAGAGTGAAGAAAACAGGAGTGGGGACTAGAAAAGCAGAGAAAGATACAAAGCCTAGATCTGCCTGACGAAGGCGTGAAGACCAAACTTGGAATGCAGGGAGGAAGAAGGAGGGAAGAGACGAGGACCTAGGAATACTGGGTTGACTGGCTAGAAAGGATGAACTGGTGAGAAAACTGAGTTTATGAATGACACTGAAGTGACTGATACACTAAATAAACAGAAACTTATAAGCGTCATTTGTCTGACAGATGTTTCACTTAGGTTCTAGAAGAGAGATGGTGGGAGAGATGGAGTGACAGAGGAGGGGAGAATAACACCCACTCCGCCCTGAAAAATCCAGAACAATCTCAGTGTCAGTGCGAGTTACACAATTTTCCTAGAGCATCAATACAATGAACATCAATATTCTTTAGAAAAGAAAGGTTCTCTCAGTGCATGGTACGTGCCAGGCCAATCAGGTATAAACTATCAAAGACAAAGTCAGCTTTATTCACAAAGTGTCCACTCCCCCAAAAGGCCAAATGGTCAAATCTGACTTTTCTTCCCTTTGCTTATTGAAGCTAAATGTCATCCACCTCCAGAAATCTGTGTTCTTTGTATTTTTACCCATTCTTTCCTCCTTCTTTCAGATGAGTCTCAAGTTTTCTCTCTCTGCCTGTGTTTTTGTTACCATTTTCTCAGACTTCTTGCACTTGATCCATTTCTTCATTTTGGGTCCCACTCCACTTGCTTTTAACAACCTACACAGGTCTCCCTAACATCTCGGGATCATGGCACTGCTGACCAACGCTTTTTTGTTCAAACTCTCTCCTCAGTGAAAACTCAGGATGTGAGTTCTCTCCCGTTCTTTCTTTCTCCTCCCATCTCCCTCTCCTTTTCTCTTCACACACACACTTTAACTCCTAACTCTTAGTTTCAACTACATCTTCTGAGTGGAAGAATCAAAATCTGCATCTCGAGTTCATTTTCAAGCATTTGTGCCAGAATTTAAATTTCTTGCTGGACCCTTCTAACAAAATATGCTACCAGCTAATAAAACCCAACACATCTAAAATTAAGTTTTTATCTCCTATCTTCAAACCATTTTTTTCTTTCCTTTTTTGCCTCTCTTTCCACCCATGCTTATCTTACCCAATCTACGTCTGAAATGTCTTAAAGTTACCCCTTCTTTGAATTCCCACTGCCACTATCCTAATTAAACACAAGAAATTAAAACTTAGCCTGCTACTTTGTTTCCTTCCTTCCACTAAAACCAATCCCGCAGGGAAGCCCAAGGCTTCAATCTATTCGACGTACTGCTCAATGGATACCCATACAAGTCACATCTTGAGGCACAACATGGCCGACATGATATTGTTAGTCGTTATGTTTTTTATTTTTAAAAATTGTGACAAAAAAACACATAACAAAATGTACTGTCTTAACCATTTTTTTTTTTAAAGATTTTATTTTTTCCTTTTTCTCCCCAAAGCCCCCCGGTACATAGTTGTGTATTCTTCGTTGTGGGTCCTTCTAGTTGTGGCATGTGGGACGCTGCCTCAGCGTGGTTTGATGAGCAGTGCTGTGTCCGCACCCAGGATTCGAACCAACGAAACACTGGGCCGCCTGCAGCGGAGTGCGCGAACTTAACCACTTGGCCACGGGGCCAGCCCCTGTCTTAACCATTTTTAAGCATATAGTTCAGTGGTGTTAAAACACAGTTATGGGTGTTGGCCCGGTGGTGCAGTGGTTAAGTGCGCACGTTCTACTTCTTAGTGGCCCGGGGTTCTCCAGTTGGGATCCCAGGTGCGGACATGGCACCACTTGGCAAGCCATGCTGTGGAAGGCGTCCCACATATAAAGTAGAGGAAGATGGGCATGGATGTTAGCTCAGGGCCAGGCTTCCTCAGCAAAAAAGATGAAGATTGGCAGCAGATGTTAGCTCAGGGCTGATATTCCTCAAAAAAAAAAAAAAAAAAAAAAAGGAAAAGAAAAAAAAACCCAAAACATAGTTGGCTTGCCCACATTAACCAACAGATGAGAAATGCCTGACCACCTCCAGGCTGCTCCTACAGGTGCAGAGAGCTAACCCCACTGCGCTGTCAGGCTAGTAGCCGAAACGGAAAGCAATGCAATTAATTATACTGTGCGGTATAATTTTTTCATGTCTGATGCCATTAAAACTTCCTAAAATAGAAACTACGGAGAAGTGACAAAAAGATAAACATGGATGAATAAAAGGCCACATATACTTCAACCACATTTTAACTGTGTACTAAGCATAGTCTCTTTTCCTTCATAAAAACTCACATGGCTTGCCCATATATGAATTTTTAATCCACCCTGGGGAAAAAAACCATAGCATCCATGAAGTCCAAACACCTTAACTTGGCTCTCAAAATTGTCTTCCATGGTCCCACAGTATTTTTCTGGCCTCACTTGGTATCATCTTAAGGTAGTCAAACTCAATTACGTATACTTCTAGTACAGCCTGGATGTTTCCAGGGATGTCTTCACTCAATGCTGTGGGATAATGGTTTTACAGAAGGTTCTGGAGCCAGACCCTTCGGGTTCCAATCCTGGCTTCCCCACGTGCTACATGACTTCGGGCAAACTACGTAATCTTTCACGCCTCATTTCCCCGTCTGTAAAGTGGGGATAGAATACGACCAATTCGATAGGGCTGCTCCGGCTTGAAAGGAGTTAATTTACGAACTGCTTAAAAGACGGCCGGCAATACGCACCATTTTCAAACGTTACCTATTAGTATTTCCGCAACCTCGAACGCCCTCCTCCACGGCCCGCTCAGACCCCACCTCCCTGACGACCCCCTCGGCAACGACCCGCAGACCCCTGCAGAGCCCCGACCCGGCGTTCACACCCGAGCCCGCTCCACAGCGCCGGCGCCCGGGGAGCTGCCCGCGCTGCGGGCCTGTCTCCTCAGGACACCGGGACACACCTCTAGTCGCGGCGGGGTCAAGGGCGAGAAGAGTCTGCGTAAGGTGGACAGAGCTAGATAATCGGAACGGGCACGTGAGAAACGCGCAGCTTCCCCTTGGAGAGCGCGCGCCCGGGTTACACGCTCGAGGAAGCTCAGTGGGCAACAGGGATGCGGGACGCGGCCGCTGTCTCCGTGCTCGTGCCTGCGGAACTCGCAGTAGGCCTCAGCGGCCACCCGGAGCAGGGCCCGCGGTGTCTCCAGTGCGGCCCGAGACCCAGGGGACCGCGGACTTCCGGGCCTCTGCCCAGGCCCAGTCTTACCTCGACGGCCGCGGCGGAAAGAGAAGCAGTGGGAACTTGAAGGCGGGGCCTCAAGATGGCCGCCGGTGCCACCGCCTGGGCCTCGCCCCCTCTAGGGCTCACCCTCCATCGGGCCCGCCCACTCTCGGGTCCTAACGCCGGAGCCGCTTGTCCTCGGCTCCGCCCTCCTACAGTCCCTTCCCCCGAAGGCTCCGCCCCCACAGCCCCCGCCCCTCCCTCACCTCTTGCTTCTCCGCAGCCAGCAGGTGGGCACCTCTTCCTCCTGCTTCTGGGCCGGGTTCCTTGGTCAAGGACCCGCTGCCTGGTGGCACGTACTCTCCCCAGAAGCCGGAGGATAAGGCAGAAAGCTTGAATAAACCTGAGGTCTGCCCTACTTAATTCATGAAAAGGGTTTCAAGTAACTTTTTGAAATTACGTAGAAACCAGGACACAATATCAAGTCTACCACCCCCACCCCCTAAATCCTTCCAATTCGCCTGCTTGGTAGCAGGAGTAAACCAAGGGTTATTTTAAAATCTCCAGTGACTGACACATAGGAAGAGCTCCACCAAGGTCCTTTTTTCTCCCTTCTCTCAATACAGATTAGCTGAATTAATAGTTGCTGGTTGATGACTTACAGCAAATCTTCCCTTGGTGTGACTTGATTTAACTGAACTGATTGTGAGTGTATTTGCTTGTTGAGAAAATTAAATCTGATTACAAAAAAGCTTAAAATTTTTTTTTAACCAACAGCTTTACTGATAGGTTGTAAATGACATTATCTGAAAGGCAGGGCTAGTTTCATGGGCGTGTAACCTGTGCAGTAGACCAGGTCCCTGTCTCAGAAGGACGTTGCACTTGGTTTAATTATTTCCTGCCACATTGTTAATAATTTTTGAACAAAGGGCCCCATATTTTCATTTGGCACTGAGCCCTGCAGATTGTATGGCTGATCATGCTGAAAGGAATAGTAGGTGAAATGACTCTATGAGAACCGACATTATAAATATAAATGCCAGAATCTGTCCTGTGGCCCAGGCTCATTTTACCATAGTGACCTGTGGACTGAACCTTTGGACCTGTGGATCGATTGGGACTCCGCCTGAAGATAATGTTTATCTAATCAAAATAATGTTTTTATTCTGAGAAAGCATTGAAGTGAAAGATTCTTTTTACTTTCTACCATTTTAAAATATAAATCACTGAAAAGTGAATTTTCTTCAAACTAAGTTTCACAACTAAAATACAATACCCAGGTTTGCAAGTTATTTGGAACTGATAGGAAATATTTGAAGAAAGTTAAAGGGTGTTTATTTAAAAAATTGATTTGCTGTGGGGTGCAGACTAGTTAATGACTGTGAGCATGAAGTCTTTTACTGAGCGGTTTTTGTGTTAATGCAGTATGATAATAACTGGAGCTAAAATTTCTTTTACTCAGTATAAATAAAATTATAATAGACCCAATAAATTTGTTTCTTCTTTAAAATATTTTATATATATGCATGAAAGCAGAGTAAGCTGAAATCAGAAATTAAGGTTGATTCTAATAATGAAACTAGTAATAAAAAATGGATGAAGAAATAGTTCAAAAATTATCTGTAAATACGTGGCTGAGAAGATTTAGGGACTCTCAGTTTGAACTAAAATAAGTAGTATGTAATCTTAGGGAGGCGATAAAGAGATGTAATGAAAGTGAGAAAAACTCAACTCTGCTTAAGGCCTGTGGGGAGGGAGATGATTTTTAGAGAGCCTAGAAAGGGCACCATACCTGAAGAATGGTATAATCTATTGGAAATCAGCACTGTGCTACTTGAGAAATTTTCCTATGGCTTTTCCACAGACTCGATTAGGGTTTCTCAATTGGCTCTACTGACATTTAGGGCCAGATAATTCTTTGCTGGGGGGAGCTATCTTGTGCACTGTAGGATGCTTAGCAGCACTCCTGCCCTCTACCTGCTAAATACCAATAGCACTTCTTCCTCTCCCCCCCACCCTCAAGCTGTGACAGCCAAATGTCTCTAGACATTGCCAAATGTCCGCTGCAGGTGGGGGGAACTGCCCCCTTTTGAGAATCTCTGGCCTAGATAAACATTCTTCAAAACTCTATTTATTCTAATTCTGTTCTTATCTACTGACATTTCAGAAAAGAATAGCCTCCATTGTTATTTAATAAATCAGAAACTTAGGTTAATAATGCATTAGTCTCTGCAGAATCTGATTGGGGTGATTCATTCTCTGAGACTGGTCACCTCTGAATGTGATATTCACCTTATAAAATTGAGTTTTTGAATGTGTGCCCCTGAGGACCAGATTTTGGATAATGGGGACTCAACCCAGTACTGCAAATTTATAGCCCTGTTCCAGAGTCCCATCTTGACTTTGTGATCTTAATGCTAAACACAGAGCACAGTAGAATGAGTACAGACAGACCTTAGCAAAGACTAAGTCTCACACTTATTAACAAATGTCCAAGTTTTACAGATTCATTTCCATTTTATTTCCCAATTTTTTTTAACTTTCTTAAATCCCAAGTCCCATATTTCTTTTCTATCATAGATTCACAGTATCTGTTGCTTCTTATTTGTCTCCAAAAGATCAAAAGTGACATACAGATGGCCAACAGGAACGTGAACAGATGCTCAACATCACTAGCCATCAGGGAAATGCAAATCAAAACCACAATGAGTATCACCTTACCCCTGTTAGAATTGCTACTATAAAGAAGACAAGAAATAAGAAGTGTTGGGAAGGATATAGAGAAAAGGGAACTCTTGCGCACTGCTAGTGGGAATGTAAATTGGTGCAACCACTATGGAAAACAGTATAGAAGTTCCTAAAAAAATTAAAAATAGAACTACCATATGATCCAGCAATTCTACTCCTCAGTATTTATCCCAAGAAAATGAAAACACTAACTTGAAAAGATATATGCACCCCCATGTTCACTGCAGCATTATTTACAATAGCCAAGACATAGAAACAACCTAATTGTCCATTGATAAATGAATAGATAAAGGAAATGTAGTATGGATAGAATGAAATATTATTAAGCCATAAAAAGGAAGGAAATCTTGCCGTTTGCAACAACATGGATGGACATTGAGGGCATTACACTAAGTGTAATGAATCAGACAGAGAAAGACAAATATCATATGACGTCATTCATATGTAGATGC